CTGTCTGCTTTTGGCCTTTGTTGGCAATACTGTAATGGGCTAGGTAACTCTTTGATCTGATCCACCATCATCGCTACTGTGCTCTTACGAACTTAGTCCAGTTTTGTCAGTTCTTGGTCTGATTTCTATCTTAGTTCACTTGCAAATTTTGTGGAAATTCAATACAAATTATATACCCTGTATCTCACAACAAGTTTGATTAAACAAATTTGTGGAAGAACACCAAGGACTCTTAAAAACTAATATACCGTCTTTAACTTGGGAATTTGGTTTGCACTTTGCTGGGAAATGGGAATTCATAAAGGGAAATATCACTGTGTAGGTGATACTCTTAAAATAGCCTTAGGTAGCTGCCATTTGTTCCTTATGTATAGGTTAACACGTGATAGGCTTTTATCTGAGGCAGCATTTCCCTTTAATTTTGCTGAAAATGCTATTGTGTGTGCTTGTTCTTCAATAACAAAGGGCAAAAAACCACTGCATCTGACTTGACTTACTCCATCACGCCATAGAACTGCATCATATTTTTGATCTCATCTTTATATGAATAATATTGTCCCATATTCTCTTCTTTATCTATTGATTGAAGAATTGGTGTGTTGACAAATCCTGGACAAATTGTGTTGAGTCTCACACCGTAGTTTTCCATATGAGCAGCTAACTAGAAAAGAGAAAAAGTTAGGCATTGGTCATCAACATTTTAAAACAGTATTGTGTTAAGTAATTTTTCAAAGAATGACATTTACCACTAAGTACTTTTCAGCTTTGCCTGGTAAGCAAATTTTGTTTCTACTGATTGTTTTGTTTCAACAACTAAATTTGAAGCACATTTTCTGTAGTAATCTTACTAGATTACTAGAAAAAAACCCCATCTGTTTTGCCAGGAGAACAATTCCACAAGAAATCAACATTCTTCTTTCCCTGCAGCAGCTGGTTTTTTCCAATATTTTAGTTGTTAGTGCTCTCGGCATGTCATTAACAGTATTCTAGGGTGATGATATAACTCTTATAAGCAAAACCAAGTAAAAAGTATCTCCCAAATGTATGCTTCCAATCTTATAAACTTTCTTATTAAAAGAAAGCTATCTGAAAGCAAATTGAGATTTACCTCTAAGATTGTATTTACCTCTCTTACGTCAACAGAAATGGCATTTGGTCTCTACCGCTAGAACTGTAATGCTAAACCTTTCCAGCTGCTCTATTGTCCCTGCCAAAGGATGAATCTATCACTGAGCATCTCCACAGGAAAGTCTCCGAACTCTAGGAAAGAGGCAGGAGTTTTTTTGGGAAGCAGTTCAGGAACATGATGAAAGCAAGTAGCACAAATTGTTCTGGGAATGGTAGGACCCTTCATTTGTGGTGCTGCCAATGCGTGTGTGTAGCAAAGAAGTCTGATCAGCATCCCAGTCATATGCTGAATGCTGGATGAACTTTCTTAGTGATGGCACAGAACTTATGGACTATACCTGATATATCCAAGAATAACCATAATTGTTCAACACTGTGTTCTATTTATTTGAACATTTAACAAGAATCCTTTCTGGTATTATGTAAATCACATGTCATTTTCATGATATGGTAGCCTGCTCTTTTGGTCTGGAGAAGAAACTGAAGTCCTACGTGTTTTGTATCATACCTGCCCACCATTAGGCTGTACTGCCTTTCCTGGTAAATGCAGTGATTTGCTATGTTTATTATTCTTTTTCTCCTCAGCATTCTCATGTTCCATAGACGCAACATTTCATCTAATTTTCTAGCAGACCCTTTATTTTTGAACTTAGACGGTGATGTTTATATTATCACAGGAAAACAAAAATGGATAAACCAGGCGTCAGGTTCATGCTGTTATATGTTATATGATACACTTATCCATACTAATCTGTTTAGGTTAATCTAAAAAAGTATTTATTTGGGTGCTGGTGTAATATATGGATAAACTATCCAAATGATCATTTCAGGTACTTTATTCTGGAAATTAGATTAGAAATCTTATATGAGTAGACTATCTTTAAGCTCAGCCTATGAAAGTGTAATCATATTTGCTCCCTTCAAGTTATTTTATCTTACTGCCTGTTCAGTTTAACTGGAAAGTTTTGGAGTCAGAGGCTATGACTTACAATACAGTCATATAACATCTAACATGTCCCATCCTAAATGTGTCATTTTGCATTTTCAGCTTATTAAGAGTTGGTAAGAATAAATAACGGTAAACCTTTTTGTGTTCAAGTTACTTTTTGAACACTTTAGTGCCTATTTATCATAAAAAAAAAAATCGTCAACCTGACTTATGAATAAGGAAACCAAAATGTTAAATGACTAGGATGGAATTATGAAAAATATTTTTAAAGTTTGGATAAGAATTTGACTTTTGGGCTCCTCCCACTGTCCTTAAATTACTTTGCAACATCTTTCTTCCATGCTCCCAAAACCTCAAATCAGTCATAAACACGCACATGCCTTACTTATTCCATCTTTGGATTCTATTTGTGAAAGGAGGGAATGTCCACTGCTTCAGACACTTCGTTTTCTTTAAGAAAATTAGTTCCAGTTTTGTGACAATAGAGAGGGAACATGAAAAACTTAGCATGTTCCCAAGGAGCTGCTGATACTGTTTTCAAAAACACATACTTACTGCTATTGACCGTGTGAATCCAATTACACCATGCTTTGTAGCACAGTACACAGGTTGGAATGCAGCAGGCATGAGTCCTTTAAAATAAAAAGGTAGCTGAATAAAGATGTTGGGTATTCCTATTTATGATTACCTTAAACGCGCATATAGGTCTATAATGTAAAAAATAAGTGATGGATTTATAGAGATGCAACAAAACAGTAAAAATTTGCAAATTATATTTTGTAATCTGAGGTAGGCTGCAAAAAGATACGAGATAGATAAAAACATAAGGAGGCAAAAGAAGAGTAATAAAGAAGTATAACTTCTAAGAGGAAAGGTGTATCTATGAAGTATGACTTAAAATGGAGGACAGGATCTGGAAGAAAACAGGGATGAGATTTTTGAGCCTTCTATGAATCTGTAAAGTATTTAAAGTATGTAAAGTATTTTAGATAAACTTTGCTTGCTGACACCCTAACTGTTGGTATGTAAACTGGACACTGCAATTATTTACAGTGATTTCAGGGAGGAGGTGTGGGAAAAGGGAAATAGCAAAATCCATTTTGACTACTGTAACCGATTTAATATTATCTTTGTAATACATCAAAACATAAATATAATGTCTGGCTTAAATCCCTTGCTTATGTTGCTTCTGTGGAATAGTAACAAAACTCAGCCTCAGATAAAACTTCTCCCCTAGCTCTAATGCAAGAGATAAGAATGAATGTGCTGCACAGCTGACTGAAGCACAGTCAGTCAATACATCTGCCTGTACAATATTGTTACTGCTTACTTATTTGACAATGTGGTTAGTACTATAACAAATACATACTCTTTTGCATACTGGTTTTTGCTCAAAGGAGCAACTATAAACAAAGTAATTCAGACTTGATGCACCATCTGAGGCACTGTAAAATTTATTTTACTTACAATACTACTCTGGTAATATTTTGTAGGTGATCTTTTTAAAGAGGTTTAAATGTAATAGGGAAGCCACTTTTGCAATAAGCAAATGGAAAAAGCACTAAGAAGTGAATGCAGGACCTCAGTGCAGAGAGTATAGAGATAAGTGGATTTTTTTTTTTTTAACATAGTAAGACAAATTACTGGTTGCTTGAGAGGGAAGATAAACCAAAGTCAAGAAATAAAGGAAGGACAGCTCACAAAAATGAAGTGGAATAAGGTTCAAAGACTTACTTAAATGTCAGAAGACAGCAGGAAAGAAGGGAGGAACAAATAATTCTTTTTTTTGAATCAAAGCATTAAACCCAGCTCTTTTCTAACTGAAATTATTATTTTTGCTAAAATGAAGAACCGAGAAGAAATCAATTGACTTTCAGCCAAAGCAGTGACAATGAAGACTAGCCCTAGCATCCCTCACCCAAAAAAAATGACAGTCCTGTCTCACTTTTGTTCCTGAGTTTGGTATCCAGGCCCACGGTGTGGGATTTCCAGCTCTGAGCCACTGCCCTGCCCCAGGGAGTGCCAAACCTCTGTCTGTTAGCCGTGTGTCCTAGGGACTCTGCTACCAAGTATTTTGGGATGAACCACTGTGTGGCATTGATCCTGCTCTGCCTGAGTATTTATTTAACCAGGGAGCAAAGATGAGTTCGTAGCATAATAGTTAAGGCATTAATTTTTTAGAAAATCTGGATTCTATTTGCTGCTCTCATGCATATTTAATTATCTTATGCAAATTGGAATGGCGGTGAAAGAGAATGGAGAATATCATGCACAAAATAAGGGGGGGGAGGAAGGGGGGGATGTTCAAATGGATGATGATGGGGCAGTGTACTCCTGGGAAGTGATACATGTGGTTTTAAATCTCTCTTAGCAAGGAGCAACTTAGCAACTATGCCTAGATTTTCCTCTCTCTGGATGTTGCTGCATCACTGAACTGTTACATGAAAGGGGACAGGGAACTTCCTTCTCCCCTCAAATAATCTTCATCGAGAACTAGTCGGTGAATTGCAAATGATTTCCTGACGACTGAAGGTGCCCTTTGGTTTACCAAAACCAATTAAAGCAGACCAGCAGTAACCCTGTGTGCCAGTGTTAACTGTGCTCTTTTTTCATTTTTCTTAGTTCCTGGCAGGCTGACAGAGACAGCTCTTGCCCTTGGTTATACTCTAGTCCCCTTGTTGTTACAGTGTCAAGACCACTCTACCATGTGAGACGTGGTGTCAGGCTTCTCACTACAACTGCTTAGTTATCATGGTCAATAGTTTCAATATCCACATCTTGAGAAATTAGTATTAGAGGTGGCAGATTGTATCAATAAGCTTGAATTGTATCAGTAAGCTTTGTTGAGACCAGTGCTTCCTTTCAGTCCACTGAAGAGCTTTGATGAATACAGAATTAAGCATTTTTCCCCAGTTATGCTTTCCCACTGAACACATTGCCCTCAGAGATTTGAACAAGTCTCTTTCTTTGAATAAGATTTATTAGCTTTTAGATGACCTTTCCACCCCTTATTTTCTCCATGGGTGCACGTTAGGCAGCTTGAAACAAATGTAATTTCTGTTTGATAGCATCTTTAAGTTCCATTAATTCTTGGAATAGTGTACTTCATGTTTGGATGAGTGTGGCACAGAGAATACAAGAACCAAAGTCTGTTTTCTAACATGGCTGTTGATCTCATGGAGGCTTTGGGCTCGGCAGAAAGCAGCGCTTCTACACTATGATTATGCAGTGACTAAGCTCGATTCTCAGTTATATTTTAGACAAATATATTCACTATTAAAACACTTAAATGTTCTATTAAAGTATTTACATTTTCTCTCACTAATGTGATAATCATAGTATCGTTTGGCATCCTAAAACTCTAAGTTTTCATTGTTTAAGAAAAAGATATGTGAAAATGCTGAAAGGTAAGTTTTGGCAAACTGATGAGACCTATTTAAAAGCAAACCAAAAGTGTGCCTCTCCATATGTTGGGAAATATTGCCAAAGTAATTTGTTTTCCTTTCTATATTAGGTTTGTTTTATAAAATATACTTGTAACACATAGAATACTTACAAATAAATAACATCACAAGATTTAACCATATTTATTTAAATTAAACGTCTTTCCAAACCACATTACAGGAATCTCCTTTGTCGCCTTTAGGCAAAAGTCTGGATAAACAGGATGGAATATGTTTACAATGTTCTTTGAAGGCCAAAGCCTCTTTTGAAGAAGCGGATATGTAACTAGAGAAACAAGCTAGGGGCATGATGGTCCTACAGAGTGATGAGAGAATTGATTCTCTCATTCTTAAAAATAGGGAGGGGGTACAAGATCACATTCATTATGTCAGTTCTACTGCTGTGATCTGTGTCAAAACAAAGGAGAGACAGAAATCCTAGAAAAAATTCCAAGCTGTGTAATTTCTAGGAAATTTTTTAACAGTGAACTGAGGCCTCAAGGGCATAGTTTCTAAATTTTCTAACCTCACTCCTGTGGATTCTGCTCAATGCTTTTTTTTTTCCCAAAGAGGAGGGAACAGAAGCTCTTTCTTGATGCTGAACTGAAAGTCCCAGTTCTACAGCCATTTACACTTTTGCTCCACTGTTATCACTGTGATAAAGTCTTGCATTTACTTAACGATGTTAACCACATGCTTAGCTTTGTTCTTGTAATATATATAAGATCAGGTCCTAAAGAAGCCTGTTTGCTGTGAGGAGTACTTTAAATATTTCTTTTGGCTGACGCCTTCTATAGGAGGAGGACAAACTGGTTGCTTGTGGAGCCTGGGTGCTTGAAGTTGAGTGCAATTAAACCACTGATACGGCTGTACAACAGAAAGGTATTCAGATAGACTACGCATTGAACAAACTCTCATAAAAAGCTAGCATGAGCTGATGGCAAATATTTTACTAGTTTTTAAACCCTCTATGAATCCTTTGATATTTTTTTTTTTTCTAATCTACTAGAACCCAGACAGATACAAATTCAGTTTTACAGAATAAAAGTGTACAGGTGCCAGCCACCAAAAGGTAAGAGACAATGCTGAATTTAATTATGTAAATAATCTCAGGAGTTAAATTTAGTTTTGTATGCTTTTTCTGTTGCTTGTAACTATTCTGTTAAACAAAGTTAAAATTAATGGATGTAGCTTCCTATGGAAGAAATTTTAGAACATTTTACTCTTCAACTTTGAAATGAAGTTTATGACAATGCAAAAACCTGCAGCCATTGGCATTATCTTTTATGGGGGCAGGTTGGCAGTAAAACAGATGTCCTATTATCTCAGCTGTTTAGTGGCATTACTTCCTCTTCATATGAATGCACAAATCCCATAAAATTAAGAAAGTTTTATAGCTTTGAGATGCAGTGGGTTAGGAGTTGGGTGCTTGCTGCATGTCCTTACATATTTCTCTCCCTTTTGTATTTAGTCCTGTCTTGTGGAGACGCTAAAGAAAGGAAGACTCAATACTGGAAAGAAAGGGTGGGCGCTCTGGCCTTCATCCAGCTGAATGAACCCTTTAAGCATCCACTTCATAGGAAGCATTTAAGTAGTTCCGTGGGTGTTTGGAAATGTGAAACAGTAAGGCTTGATTCTGTCCCTAGTTCAAATCATTGGCAAAATTCCCATGGTGAAGAACTGGAAACTAATTAGTAGGCAAAGCAAATATTATTGAATGTTACGTAAGCACTAAATATAACTCTTCTTGCTGCTCAGGAAGACACAAGAATATTTGCTGTCTGCAGAGCGTATCTGATAAAATCTTATAGAGAACTTGGACAGGGGAATCAAAACCACTCAAAAGTTTAATGATCAACAGAAGCTAGCTCTGAGAAAAGAAAACACTAGAAGAGAATGTTAAACAAGCCAGTGAGAGTTTGCCTTTTATCTATGGAATAAACTGCAGGACTTAGACCTTCAGACTGGAAAGGACAATTAGAGTCACAAAGCACAAATAGTAGTAAATAAATAAACAATAAAAATCAGTGTATGTCAGCTTTTATAATGTGTTTTTCCTTATGACCTTGGAAACAATTGCTAAATACAAGCTATGTAAGAGCACACAAAGCAAACACTGTTTTTGCCAGGTTCCCACAATCATTACGGCACAATGTTAATGTTAAAAAAATAAGTAAATAAATGCTGATTTTAATCAAATAATTAAAGTGCACTTGCAAGCTCTTACCAAACTGAGAAAAGCCAAGCTGTTAGGTCTTAAAATCAAAGTAATTTTGTGTTCGAGACTAGTTAGGAATGGAATCAAACTACGTGCTACCTCTGCACTTTCTTAAGCACTGCATGGGCATCAGCACTTCTGTGAAAATGTTTAATCTTTCACTTGTGTTGATGAACTCTTGTACTGCAATAGCAGTTTCCTTCGGGTTAATTTGGTCCAAATACAATGTCCATTTGCGCCAATGGAGATAAACTTACTGGCATGAGTAGGCAATGTGTTAGGCAGTATTGCAAGTGCTGACTTAAAGGTACATGGAGACTTTTAATAAAGGACCGCTCACTCATATGAGGCATGTGCATATATTAAGTCAGATCCTCAAGATCCACATGCATTATGTCAATAGGGTGAACTGGACTTCTCATCACAAAAGCCAAGGTTTACAGGAGAATTTAATAGTGCTCAGAACATTCACACCTATTGGGCACTAATCCCCATTCACACTCAGGAACTATGGCTGCTCCTGTCTTACTGGCTTTTCATTGTTAAAACACATAGGAATACCCTGGAATAAAATTACTATCATTTGGTATTCTTCATGGGTACCAAAGAAAGCACTGACAATCCAACTGTAAGCCAGCATACCTATTATTTTTCCCAGACCGTGTGACATTAGCAAGAGTGAACAAACTCTTCAAACAAGCAAGAGAGAATGCAAGTATTTCCCCACAAATCTTTTGACAAAGGTTGTCAGGTGACATCATTCTCTTTTAACCGTTTCCCCTTCAGCTGTGCTTTTTTGCTGTGAGGCCAGTCGCTGCAACATGCATACCCACAGCAAAGGGAGAAGGATTCTGCCTCACAACTGAGCGGCAATAACCCTGACTGATTTATATGAACCATATAATTCCATTTTTAGGCCAATAAATTGAAATACAGTTATAGCATAGATAAGTGGTGAGCAAAGAATGTGCTAGCTTAAGCTCAACGAAATATGAGTGTTAACTTTATCGCCTCTCAAGCAGAGGTAGATCACATCTGAAAGGACTTGGAGCATGGACAGAGTTGGTGCGTGACACTCTTCATTAATAAAATAGATACAGTCTAATCTTAAATATTCCTACAGCTGTGCTCCCATGGAGTTGAATGGAGGACCTGCTACTGCTTCCTCACTTTCTGTGGAAAAAAGCTGATTTTCCATATTTGATGCCCCATAAATAATTTGTAATATAAAAAATAACCAGATTTAAAGTAACCCTGAATTCAAATTAGGTCTATACATTGGACTTTGTTTCTTACACACAGTGTAGTGTACTGTTTTAATTCAACAGTGTTATTGAATAGTGTTGAATAAGCATAGTGAATTGAGGCCAGTTAGGTTTTGCTCAATGTGTGGCAGTAATGAAACCTGAAAAATCTATTTACATCATGCTCAAGATTATTAAATATGAGACTGATAGGTTAGGAAATTTACTGAATTTTTCATTGAACTGAGTTCAAAAAAGCAGATGGAAGTTGTGGTCCTTTGATATTACTTTGGTTGCTATGATGAAAACCAGGTCAAAATGGGAATAAACAGGGAAGAGCCATAAGAAAGAAGAAAAAGTGTGACTGATCGGTATGATTAATTTATTTTAGAAACAAACCAGTGAGTAGAAAGTGTTTATACGGAAAATATTCTTACCTGCCAAAGATGAGATATTAATGATTACTCCTCCGTCGCCTCCATTTCCTTTTCTCATGTATTCTAGGCCGAGGTAGGTTCCTCTAATCACAGAAGTCTGTTATAGAGGGGAAAGGGATGATTATATTCAGAATATGTTTCTTTTGAGCTCCTAAAAACTGAATCTTGCTTTAATCGTGATGCCTAGAACCTGTATTGCTTTACCAGTGATTTATTTATACTTGGAAGATTATTAACACAGATGACATTCCACAGTAATGCAGCCTAATAAGTTCAGAAGCACAATTGCAGTGCATAGAAATAACAGCAGCTTAATTATTTTTCTTATTAAGATATCAGTAATCCAACTAAAATGTTACAACGTGAAATAAAAGCTGTAAAGGAAATGAAATACAGAATAAGTAAATAATTTATAGATGAAACACTTTATTGAGGATATAGTGGTGGATAAACTGATCCAATTCCCAGCATTTTTATTGAGACAAGCTGCTCTACATTATAAAAAATGTACAGACTGAATCTGAAGATAACACTAACACTTATAACTCCATTTAGCTCAAGGCATGAGATCTCTTTTTAGGATTAAGTTATATGTTATATTTCTGGTCCCAGGATATTAAAAATTTGTATTCTTTTCTGACTGAAGTTACTGGAGTTTTATCATTCCTCTCAAAAAAAGTTAACCCAAACAGACAAATACAGATAAAGTAAAAAAGCATTTGAAGAGGTGTGAAACATGGTGCTAGTATAATATTAGCTGCAGCATGTGATTTTTAATTTTTGTTTAAAGGAAGATCTTTGAGGAAGAAAATTTTACTGAGACCTGTATAATCTTGATTCCTTAAGATCTGTTTTTGAACCCTACTGCAGTCACAACCTGCTGGGATTCATCTCACCAAACTTCAGACATTTAAACTGAGATGCCTAAAGATATACTGAGCCTGGGGTTATCAGCCTCCTAAATGAATCAAGCAGTTGAGTCTTTCCCAGAGAGTAAGTCACTTTACCAGAGACTTTAACAAGTGATAACAGAAAGGCAGCAGACAGTGCTGCTAGTGGAAGATACTAACTTTAGTGAAATTTTGCAATATTACTGCATTAGTGACGAGTTTCATAATTATTTACTGATTTTGTTAGTAATCTCTCCATAATCAGTTCACATTTGGTTTACAGTTTCTACTTAAAATGAACAAAGGTACTGAGATACTTCTATTTTTCTGGAAATATTATTTAAGTTTTTAAATTAGAACTCTATTTATATTTTATTACTGTTTAGTGCTATTTATTTGACCCAGATAAATTAAGATGCTCAAAAGATGAAGTGGCCCCACAAATATGTTCATATCTGCGCACAATTATTTCACTTAGAGTTTTGACCAGGGAAGGTCTACAGAATTGTGAATTACAGAGAAGGAAATCTTCCAACGTAATAAAAAAACACAGTAAAAAAAAAATCTGTATATGACAACAACCTAATGGATAGTGGCTAGGTGTACTGGAAAGAAAAAGCTTTTAAAATCAGAACATTAAGTATTTTTCTACCATTATCTAAATTCCCAAACCAAATTGGAATAATTTAAAGACATGTGTTACATTTCATTTGTATTAGCTGATAGTTTTAGACATACATGTTATAAAACATAAAGTAAAAGTCCTAATTCAAGTTTGGTTGCCCTTCACACTTACTGGTTTTAACAGGAATCAGATTGGAAGACTGCATGTCCTGCTTTATTAATATTGCTTGTTCATTGTCCAAGTAACATGAAGTTAAGCTGCCCATTGACAGAGATAAAACAACTTGAGACCTCATTATGATGTTTGCTTTGGAATTTCAATAAAGAATCAGCTTTTTTCATTTTCTATAGTTGCATCATTTTATGTGATATTTTCAATATCAATATTTTTTCAGTATACCAATTGCCTGGAATAATGTAAAAAAAATCACAAAATATCAATAGTTCAAAATTAATTTTAAACTTTTCTTAAACAAAATATTCCCATAAAAAGCTTTTTTGTTTTTTCTCCTGGAAGTTTTTGTTGTAAGTAACATACTTTTAAAAATGTTTTGATTAATATCCAAAGAATGTTATTGATTAAATGTTTTAACAGAAACTTTCCAAAGAACTGTCTTCAGTGGCTTGTAAAATACCATACTAAATCTGATTTCTCTCGCATGTCCTGGAAAGTGTCAGAGCCATTATAAATGTAGTCAAGTGCTGTTTAATGTTAATGTAAATTTTAAAGTGTTTACCAAAAAACAAGATCATTAATGCTCAGTAGTGTTGCTGTAAGGTATACTTATTCTGGACATAAACTCATTGGCAGCTCAGCTGAAATTACACTTAGACTTAAGGGTGGCTGGTGTTTTTTAATATATACATATGATGGGCTGTGCACACGACATTTTAGAAAAGAAGGAGTTAATGCTGTCTATGGAGAGCAGGTGCAGGTCCTATCATGCCCTGGAGCAGTGGCTCAGCCTG